ATAACCCTCAGCACCCCAAGAGGAGCAACTCTCTTCGCAAAGTTCGCAGAGGAATCCCGCTTCTTTACGGACATCTGTCCTAGGAAGACAGGTACACTCCCAGAACCCCCTTTAGCGGGGATTTAACGAAAAGACCCGTCCTTCTACCTTTTTTCTCTTCTTTCCTGTCTTTACATTTATTTCTTTCTCCCTTTCTAGCCTTAAAGGCCCAGCACCCTAGCAAAGAAGACACACGAGCAGGAGTTAGAGGAAAACTTACTGCGAAAAGAGCCTACAGAGACGCTTCGTCCGCGATATGCCACCCTAACAGCGTAAGCCGTAGGCAGCGTGGCACGTCCTATGCCCCTAGGGAGGCTACAGGGCACACGGTGGCAAGTACATAGTCGAACCGCGCGTGGACCCGCCGGACGTTAAATAGCAATCAATCAATCAATCAATCAATCTACGACGCCATCTCCTATTATACTATGTCTTTACTTAACCTTCCCTTGGAGCTGCTTCGCACCATCTTGGAACGACTTGTTGATGGCGACGGCTTAGAGCATACAGTGCAACTACGCGGCGTCAATAGTACATATATAATCTTCCATTACGAACGCTCTTTCTAACACATTCCAGGGCCTTTTAACCGAGAGATACTGCACGCATTAGCGAAGATACAAATCATTGAAGCCGGCCCTACCGCCCTATTCCCAAAAGAAGTCGAATCTCCAAACTAGCCCAGCCGAACCCAGTTCTTCGCGCGCTACCTGGTGCAGCGCCCCCACAAAATCCAGCACCGCTACCCCTACCAGCTCTCCGCTTTCATCAACCAGGTGCTCGATGCTCTCGTGGCCGGGCCGGGCGGTAACGCTGCACTGGTAGAAGACGGCCCTTTCCGTCACCAGTGCACCGTATCGCTCATCGACAACTAGGTATGTCAATGTTGCCGTAGGAAGGCTGATGACGCTATCAGGGATAGCAAGTGGACGATTCAACAAAGCGCCTCCGCCCACCAGAGACGACGTCTTTCTGGCAGCGATCATTCTACAACTTGTCTCGTTCATCGAGACGCAAGCCGTGAGCTACGACATCAACGCAACATTCAGCAAGATCGACTGTAAGCAACCATGGGGCCGCCCGCTCCACTCTGCCGTCAGGACCGCCGTGCTCGCTGCCGTCCTGACACCCCGCACCGACGTCAACGTGCTTGAGAATGGGTCGCTGGCGCTCGAGACGGCGGCCTGCCTGGACAACAAGGCGGCCATACACACGCTATTAGCCTGGCCAAACGTGCACTGCCGCGCCGACGGTGACGCGGTAACAAAAGCAGTGGTTGCGGCGTTCGAGAACGACCACACAGACGCCGAAATGATGATCCTGGCACACGCAGCTCCTGCGGTGCTCAGTATCGCCCTCCCCACGTGCTTGGTCGCGTGCTGCTGGCACGGGTCGCTGGACGCGGCGCGTGCGCTCCTTGACAAGGCTGTCACCGCGCTCGGGACAGATGCCGCCGTTGTTGCCGACGCGGTCAACGATGCGATGTTTTCCGCAATCTGTGCGGGGCATGAGAAGATGCTGCGCTTCCTCGTGCAGCGGGGCGGGCAGCTGGGCTCCTTATTCATGCTCTCCGAGCAGGTGCACGTACTCATCTGTAACGGGAACGTAGGCATGCTGCGCATGCTGGTAGATGCGGGCTTCCGGGCCGGATACGACGGGTACGACGGGCTGGAGACGGCAGCGAAGCTCGACGCCAGCGACACCGTTCGCGCGCTCGTGCAGATGGGCGCGGTGGCGCTCGACGAGAACACTGAGGAGGCGCAACGCTATAAGATCACGCAGCGCGGGGATATGGCGCGTTGGTGCAAGGCGGTGCTGATGGGGTGGGCATGCGCGTACGGAAATGTCGAGTTGGTCAGGTTTTATGCTGCCAACGGGTTTTCCGTTACCCCTGATTACGCGGCTGTATATGAGCGGTTTTTGGGCGTCGAGCCGGTTGTTGTGACGAGGGCTTATGGGCAGAAGGAGGTGGAGAGGACGCTGTTGGAGCTGGGGGCGAGGAAGGTGGATCCGCTTGGTACGGCATGGAGGGAGAGGTTTGCTGGTGGCGTAGTTCCATTTAGGTCGTTGAAGGAGCGGTTGCTGTCGGAGAGTAAGGATATAGAAGGTATGGATAGGTTTGCGCGTAGTAAGTGGTGCAGGAAGTGGTGTAGAGGTTTAAAACTTTGATTTTGTTTATTTTGTATTTTCGATTTCCGAGACCTACGTCAATATCTCATATAAAAAGGGCCAACCCTCGTTAGTAATAAATTTGATTCCTGATTTTCTTAATATGAGACGCGGGGGGAGAGTTACGTATAACGGGAAATTTTCAATATCTACTTCCTTATATCGTCCCAGTCTTTTAATACCAATGTTATTTTAATACCTATAGACTTTTGACTGCACACTGCTATCAGCGAGTCGTAAGTAAACTACTGCTAGGCGTGAATCATACAGATTCGGATAGTATGTGCATGGATCTTAATCTTGATTGCGAGGCGGCTCTCTCCCTATCGTTAAATCCTCAGTGGCTGTTGTGTCCGCTGTGGTAGCAGCTTCGGATGTTGAGGATGGAATGTCAATGGCAGATAGGGAGCCGGGTCGCGATGCGGTGGCGTGAGGGGCTTGACCGTGTTGGAATTGGGGCTTCTGCGGCCGCGCCCACAATAGCGGCTCATCGATACGCGTGCTGCATAGGTATGTCGCCGCCAGCGCGGCAGGAGTTCCTTTTCTACCTCTTTTGTATACCCTGCCTCTGTTTCTCAGTCTAAATTCACTTCTCAGACCATGCGTTGTCCTTCGGGTCTTTTTTCTTGGTACATCTCATCTTCTGATAGCGCTGCGTGAGAGGGAGAACTGACAGTAACGGTTCCATAGAGACGTTCGCCAAATTTAAAGACAGTTTGGCACGATAAAGAAACAGCTAATTCTGATTTTTGCGACTGCGGAGATACTAAAAGCACCAGCTTGCATGTAGACACAACCTAGAGTTAGTAGCCAAACCGGTTGTTGGTTAGGCCTTAGCCGCCTCTGCATCCTCTACCAACGAACCAACATCATATTCCTCAAGGTAAGCCCTTACGCTGACCCCTTCGTTGTCTTGGATGTCTAGGTCCGGGTTTTTCGTAAGCAAGAACCTGATAGCATCCTTGTTCCCCCCTTGAATAGCCCAGTGGAGAGGCGAGCTAAGCCCCTTGCTACGAAGTTGAAAGTAGGTCAAGACCTCTTGCTCCAAAACTTCGTTGACATCAGTGCCGTGCTCGATAAGGCACTGCATCTTAGGTAGGCTGCCAAGGAATGAAGCAATATGTAGCGCCGCTGTCCCTCGAGTTTCCGCGCCAGCGTTTAATAAGATTTCCAGCGTCTCGGTGTCGTTGAGTTCATCCCAATGAACTGAACTCAAGCGTGCAACGACACCGAGAGCTTTCAGCTTCTTTCTTACACAACGTCTGTTGCACGACAACTCAATATTTGGATTGACTCCTTGACGAAGTAGATAGCGGAATGTGTTTTTACGGCGTCTCCAGACACAATCGATTAACGGAGTAAAGCCTCCATGTAGCGTCATTTCGTCCAGCTCTCCCCAACTGAAACCACGCTTTTCCAGTATCTTGACCACTTCTTCTTCTTTGTCGCTCTCGCTTGCTGCATCGGTGGATTCTGGTTGCCCAAAACCCGCGGTCGTAACACTGCTCCAGCAGCTCAATGTTGCCAGATCTTGCTGCCATCTCGGCTATTTTACATAACTCGGATGAACCGACATCCGCAGTCTGCGAAGGCGGCATTGTTGATTGATTGCTCCTTGTTGGTTGGGGAGAGTTCTTCCTATCGTTGTAGTTGTTGGTTTTGCGTGATGTTGGTAACAAATGAAGTGGAAGGCTGGTTTTCTGTTGGTACGAGGCGTATTTTGCTGTGCCTCTCAAGGACGCCTAGTGGGTTTAAATAGATCTTCAAGCTTTGTTGCGGTGAGGCATGCAGTTTGGGGGCCACTGGCGTTATCTGTGGCACAGGTCCGGTTTGCCCCACAAAGCGTTACCCGAAAGGCCCGATTGGTGTTGGTTTTGGACTTAACCGTATTTACCACAACAGAAAGCAGAACCAACCAGTATATGAGATAACATAAAATCCTGCTACTAGAAGTACGTAGCAACGTGTCCCCCATCAAGAAATCCTAGTTTTACGCTCCCTTAACAACACCTTCAACAACATCTCTCTCACTATTATCAACCCATTTTTCAAAGCGAAATGTTCTTCAGTAACCCTTCTTTGTTGTTTATTGCAGCAGTCAGCATCGCCACCTCTGGCTTAGTGCTTGGATCACCCGTCCCATCTCCTGACGCTATCATCAGTGGCCCTAAATCTTACGAGGCAGCTACCGGTAACAACATCGCAGCCGGAGTAAGTCGGAAGACGTTCTAGATAATCAAATACAGATTTATTAACATAAATATCCAAGTACCAGGCTCCCCCTCCTGAAGTGCACGTCGTTCCGCGTACTTCGAAGAACGGGGCCACCAACACGGGAAGCCACAACTCCGGAAAAGACGGAAAAGGTTCTAACACTAAGGACAATACGGGAGGAAAGGCGAATACTTGCGACAAATCCTCAACAGAGTAGCAAGCTAAGAAGAGGGAGTTTCAGAAGCGTCTTCAAGATATAAAGAGAATGTATTAGAAATGAAAGTACAGGGTACGGTCAACTCGAATACTGGCATTGCTAGGCAAGATCTTTTATAGCTGATATGTCAGTCTTTATAGAGTGGAATATCTTCTATACGTCTGTACTTTTAGCTTCCTCTTTTCGTAAAACGCCACTAGTCACTCTTTACAATCCAGTCGCGTTTGTATTTGCAAAGGATGGTACCCGGAAATGATGTAGAGAAGAGGGGGTTTGCGGAAGTCGTGTATATGGTGAGATAAGACGTAGTACATAGAGCACCAAATCAATTCACCACGTCGACTTCTCTATCTGCACTCGAGGTATTTCGCCGTCACCATCTCGCTTCACATTGACGGACGTTAGAGTACAAAAGAAAGCAGAAAGCAAACTATCGAGATATTACTTCCCGTAAACGTCATGCAGTCAACTATTGAAAGAACGTCCACAAGCGGCTCAAAATCTCACCAGGAATGCACGCCAACAGAGCTGAAATAGATAAACCGCGCAAGCACCGACAGTCTCAGCAGATATTTATACTCCCCAGACAGACGTCCTTGCTTAACAAGCATGTAGTGCAGCCAGAGCGCAAGAAGCCCTCCGGGTCGCACAATCGGGAAGCCTGCCCCACCGCACCAAGAGAATCGCCACGACGGCGCGCAGTCCAGCCCGCTCGCACGACCTCAAACACCACCAGCTGACACCAAAAAGCACTATTCATCATCCAAGCCTACTTTCTCGCTACATCCACGCTCTCTATTCGAACCCCGCACCCCGCACTCGCGCGCCTCCAAAGCCGACGCAAAATGACGTACCCGTGCAGCAAGCCCAGCAGCTTATCAGCACCAGGCCCGGAAACTGGGGCGCGGAACCGAGAAGCAGGAAGCTGGAAGAGCAGAAGGTGGGTGGTGCAGCGTAGGTAGCACAAGAGCGATAGATAGGCGGGCCCGATCGATCAGGTGCGTTCGTGCGTGCTTGCATGTCATGTCGGGAAGGAAACACAAACACCACGGAAGGGACCCCCACTTTCCGCTCTGCATATAGCCCGCTAGTATTATCTACTACCTACCACGCAACTTCGATAACAGCACGCCTTGCGCCCTCACCTCGCGGCTCTGATTCCCTACACGGCAAAGCAGCACGCCCGCAGTGCGCGCGCTTTCAGCTCACAGCTTACGCCCCTCGCTCGCACCACACACCACACACCACCACTACAACACCGTGCCGATAAGCTGACTGGCTGAAGCCGTGCCCGCATCTCGCAGCGCACAAACACAAACGCCCTTAGCCGCATGCCATGCCATGCTATCTCGCTTGGCTGCTGCTGCTGCTGCCACTGCTGTTGTCGCTGCACGCGGCACGGCGCCAACAGCCCACCTATCTGGACGACAGGCCTGTTCTGCCTTGATCTGCCCCTGTCCGCCTTGTGCTTCGCAAGTTCCTAGCTTATCAGCGCGTGTCCCCTGCTGTTATATACCTACCTCTCTTTGCGCTATCTCTTGCCGATGTGTCTTTCGCTTTCGCTTTCACTGCGCAAACGAGACAATACCTCCCTGATGGCGCAGCTTGACGAGAAACTGGATATGAAGCTCCCGCGGCACGAGGCGGAGGCCGCTGATGCTGGCTCACCTATTGATAATGTTGAGGCTGGGACGGCGGCGGTGATTGCGGAGAAAGAGGAGAGGGGGGAGAGGAAGTTGGCGCGGTCGTTGCAGGGACGGCATATGCAGATGATTGCGATTGGTATGTTTGGTTTGTGTGCTGGATTGAGATGCGGCAAGGATGAGAAACAAGAGGAAAGTTGATGAGGGCGCAGTAGCTAACATGTCCGTCTTACACAGGCGGCTCTATCGGCGCCGGCCTCTTCGTAGGCACCGGCGGCGCGCTGCGAACCGGCGGACCAGGCTCGCTCGTAAGTGGCTGCTTCCACGAACCCCCACAGCACAACTAACCAACACGCGCAGCTCGTCGGCTTCCTGATCATCGGCACCATGATGATGTGCACGGTGCACGCGCTGGGCGAGCTCGCCATCCTCTACCCCGTCAACGGCGCCTTCTACGAGTACGCGGTGCGCTTTATCGACCCGGCATGGGGCTTCGCCATGGGGTGGGAGTACGCGATCGGGTGGATGGTGACGCTGCCGTTTGAGATTACGGCGGCGGGCATCACGCTCGAGTTTTGGAAGAGCCGGGAGGAGGTGAGTCCCGGGGTGTGGGCGGGCGTGTTCATGGGCGCGTTGATTCTCGTGCAGTTGTTTGGCGTGCGGGGGTATGGCGAGGGTAAGCAGTGCTTTCCTGTCACTGACTCCGCATGATATCGCGGAAGATGAAGGTCGGGTATGGACTCCGCTGACCACAGACCCACAGTCGAGTTCGTCCTCGCCATCATCAAGATCCTCGGGTGCATCGGCTTCATCATCCTCGGCATCGTCATCGACTGCGGCGGCGTGCCCACCGACACGCGCGGCTACATCGGCGCGCGCTACTGGCACGATCCGGGCGCCTTCCGCAACGGCTTCAAGGGCTTCTGCTCCGTGTTCGTGACGGCGGCGTTTTCGTTCGGCGGCACCGAGATGGTCGGGCTCGCGGCGGCCGAGGCCAAGGACCCGCGCCGTTCGCTGCCAAAGGCTACCCGGCAGGTGTTTTGGCGCATCGCGCTGTTCTACGTCTTGAATGTGTTTGTCATGGGCTTGGTGGTGCCGTCGGATAGCGATGTGCTGCTTGGTGCCAGTGGCGCGAACACCAAGGCGTCGCCGTTTGTGCTGGCGGTCCAGTTGGCGGGCATCAAAGGGCTGCCGCACGTCATCAACGCGAGTGAGTTGGCTCTCTTTCAGACAAACACCTGCCACATGCAAAAAGAAAACAAAACTAACAAACGCACGTACTTACAGTCATCACCCTCGCCGTCCTCTCAGTCATAAACAGCTGCACGTACGGCAGCACGCGCGTGCTACAAGCGCTCGCCTCCTCCGACCGGGCGCCCCGCATCTTCGCGCGCCTCGACCGCGCCGGCCGCCCAGTGTACTGCATCGCACTGCAACTAGCCGTCGGGCTGCTCGCGTTCCTGACGCTGGCCGCCGACGCGCAGACGGTGTTTTCGTGGCTGCTGGCCGTGACGGGGCTGAGCGGGCAGATAACGTACGCGAGCATCCTGCTGGCGCATCTACGGTTTCGGCGGGCGTGGCGGCTGCAGGGGCGCGGGCTGGAGGCGTTGCCGTGGCGAAGCGGGCTTGGTGAGGCGGGGAGCTGGGTCGGGTTGGTGCTCGTGGGGTGTAGTCTTGCGGCGATATTTTACTCGGGGCTGTTTGTACGTGGGCCCTTTCTCACTGTCGCTTCCTCTTCCTCTTCCTCTGCTTTCGGTCGTTTTGTTTTGCGTCTTCCTTCTTGTGCGACGTGAATGGAGGAAAGAAAGAAAAAGCTAACATAATGCGCAGCCCATCCACGAATCCCCCAACGCAGCCGCTTTCTTCCAGTCGTACCTCGCGGCGCCGATCACGCTGTCGCTGTTCCTGTTCTGGAAGGCGTATACGCGCGACTGCGGGCTGGGCGTCGACCTGCGGACCGTGGATCTGGATTGCGGGAGGCGGATGGAGGAGGAGTTGGATCCGGTGGATGGGGATGCCGAAGGAGTTGAGGAGGGCAAGGGGAAAAAGAGCGTGTGGCGGAGGGTGCTAAGGGTTGTGTTCTAGGTTGGCAGGTGGTGGTGCGGTGGTGTGGTGCGGTGTCGGAGCCGGTGTCGTTGTCGCTGATCCGTGGGGTGGATTGTGTTTGAAGAGGAACCCTAGGCTGGCAGGGATGGCAGAAACGAGAAACTCCACGAATGAGCTCGCTCGCTTGCGCAGTCGTGCATATCTATACTCGGTATGGCCTGTCGTTCCTGGATGGCGCGCAATGACGCAGGCTTGCATCGTGTCTGCTGCGCCGCTCCCGGGCGATCACCCCACGCATGAGTGCCTGTACGTCTGTCTGCGTGTCTGCATGGCAGATTAGCCGGTTGCCGCGTTCTTGATTACCTAGGTCCGCTGTACCTTCCTACTTACCTAGTTACCCCGCGCTTCTTGCATGGCTTGGCGGGGGGAGGAGGTGGATGAAGATTGTAAACAGAGAGCGGGTGCGCTGTCGACAATGCATCTTCAGCATTCGATTCAATCCCATTTCCTTTCTTCCCATCGCCATCATGGCATCCATCTTCAACATCCTCACCCGCGGCGGCAGCAGCAGCAGCAGCAGCAAGCCCACCAACAAGCCGACGCCCTCCCCCCCCTCACCACCCCACCCCCTCGTCCCACTCACGTATCCGCCCTTCCTCGCCGCCCGGCCCCAGCCCGCCGGCTGGCTGCGCACGCAGCTCCGCCTCGGCGCGCGCGGCCAGGCCGGCGCCCTCGGAAAGTTCTACCGCTTCGTCGTCCAGAGCAGCTGGGTGCTCGGCGAGGGCGCGCCAGAAGCGCACGAGTACTCGGCGCTGAACGAGGCGGCGCCGTACTGGTACCGCAGCGTCGTCATGCTTGCGGCGGCGCTGGGGACGGAGGAGGACGATGAAGACGCGCAAGAGCTGTGGCGGCAGGCGAATGCGTTCGTCGACCACGTGCTGCGCACGCAGGCGGACGACGGGTGGTTGGGTCCCGAGCGCAGCCGGCAGACGAGAGGGATCTGGGCGCGCTGTCTGCTGCTGCAGGGCATGGTGGTGCATGCGCGGGCGGACGCGACTCGGGAGGAGGCGATCCGCGGGGCGATTGCAAGATTTGTGAAGCTGGTGCGGGAGATGCTGCAGCGGGGCTGGGAGGGCTATCTCCCCGACGAGGCGGAGGGCGACGTCTTCGATCCGCAGCTGTTTGGCGTGGCGAGGGCGCATGAGCTGGCGACTGTGTTGGAGCCGCTGTTCCAGGAGGGGCCGGATGGCAGCGACGAGGGGAGGGACATGTGGGATGTTATGGAGATGATGTGGGAGGGGGGACGGGTGGGCGAGAGGGACTGGACGGGGTTTTTGAGCGAGTCGGGCTTTTTGAAGACGCCGGCTGTGAAGGGCGAGGTCAGCAATTTCTGCCATGGGGTCAATGTCGCGCAGGGTGAGTGTTGGATCGCCTGGACTTTCATTTCACCTGCTTACCTACTGCTGCCAGGCCTCCGCTACCCCGCCCAGCTCTACCGCATGCACCCCACGCCCACGCTGCTGGAACAAAGCAAACGCGCCGCCGACCTCGTCTTCACCCACCACGGCACGGCCGCCGGCTCCATGGCCAGCGACGAGTACCTGGGCGGGCTGGCGCCGACGCGCGGCTCCGAGACGTGCTGCACCGTCGAGCTGATCTTCAGCCTCACCTACCTGTACACGCTGTTTGGCGAGAGCGAGCTGGCCGAGCGGGCCGAGAAGGCGGCGTTCAATGCGCTGCCGGCGGCACTGAGCGAGGATTGGTGGGCCCATCAGTATGTGTGCCAGGTCAACCAGCCGTGGGCGAAGCAGTTGGAGGTGCCGGACGGGGAGCGCAGGCCGTGGTATGACGTGTGCGTGTACGCGAACGTGTTTGGGCTGGAGCCCGAGTATGTGAGTGTTTCCATGTTCCAGAGCGAGAGCGAGAGTGAGACTGAGACTGACACAAGCAGCCCTGCTGCACCGTCAACCACCCCATCGGCTATCCCTCCCTGCTTGCCAACGCCTTCTTGCGCGTCCCGCAACAGTACGACGACGGCATCCTGCACGCCCACATCCTGCCCTCGCGTCTCACGACTCCCGACGCCATCACCATCGACGCGCAGACAAACTACCCCTTCGTCCCCGCCGCGCTGCTCTACACCATCACGACGCCCAAGCCCTTGACCTTCTACATCCGCGTGCCGACGTCCATCGACCACGCCACGTCGACCATCGCGGTCCGCGGTCCACACACCCAAACCGAAAACGAGCAGCCCTTCGCGCCCAACTTCCACGCCGGCCTCCACCGCATCCCCCTCCCCGCCGCAGGCACCTACACCATCGCCGCAACCCTGCGCGCCGAGCCCCGCGCCGAGACGCACCCCGACGGCTCCGTCTCGGTGCACTGCGGCCCGCTGCTGTATGCCCACGCCGTGCCGTACACGACGACGACGCGTCCCCCGCGCGACTTTAAGGACCAGGAGCGCGATTGCCCGGACTTTGCTGCTGCGAGCATAGCGAGTGAAGCGGGCAAAAACAAGAATGACGACGAAGAGCCCTGGAAATCCCACATCCGCGACCACTTCCTCGTCCCGCAGACGCCCGACTGGGGCCTCGCCATCGACCCGTCCCAGCCACTGACGCTGCGCGCGCCGGACCCGTGGCTGGACAAGGCGCACACGCGGGTGCGGCCTCTGGTGGGCGACGACGACGACGACACAGACACAGACACAGCCACGCAGACGCCATGGGCGCCCGACGCCGCGCCGACGGCCGTCGAAGTGTCTGGCGTGCAGGTCCCGTGGCCGTTGAAGGGGGGTACGGCGGCCGAGCCGGGCGAGGTGGATACGAGCGATGAGGGGGCGTGGGGGGCACGGGGAAGGGTCAGGCTGGTGCCGTTCGCGACGGCGAGGGTCAGGGTCGCGCAGTTTCCAGTTGTGAGGTTGGGGGAGGGGGAGGGGGGTGATAAGGAGAAAGAGGAGAAGGTAGGGAAGGCGGGGAGGTGCGTGTGCATGTAGATTGAAATGTACCCGTGGGTGGGTGTAGATAGCAGAGCAGATAGGTACCGATGGATGGATGGATGCGAGCAATACGACCTGCCCCCCGCGGCAGTGATCGCAGCGGCCATGACGTCGTCGTCGTATTCCTGTCCCTCCCCGCGCGATTAATATATCCGCCGTGCATGCATGGCGAGGCGGCTCGCTTCCCGCAGGTCCTGCTACCCCGCCACCTCCGCAGACGCGGGTTCCTGCATATAAGCAGCAAACGTGACGCTGCACCGCACTGCACGACCGCCGCCGTTTGTTTGTTTGCCTGCCACTCACCCACGCGTCGCACTCCCTCTCGGCACGATGCACCTCCCGCTCCCTCTCCTCTTTCTCTCCCCGCTGCTCACCACAGCCTTACCCCACCATGAGCCCCGCCAAGCGCCCACCCCACAGAACCTCACCACCATCACGACGCCGGGGGGCAACACGGTGCGCTACAAAGACCTCACCGCAAGCGGAATCTGCGAGACGACGCCCGGCGTGGGCAGCTACAGCGGGTACATTGACGTGAACGGCGGGCGGGACCATGTCTTTTTCCTGTTCTTTGAGAGCCGGCGGGACCCCGCCACAGACCCATTGACGCTGTGGCTGAACGGCGGCCCCGGGTCCGACAGCCTGATCGGCGCCTTCGAGGAGATTGGGCCCTGCGAGGTCCTCGCCAACATGACCACCTCCCTGCGCTCGCACCCTTGGAACGGCATCTCGAATCTGCTGTTTTTGTCGCAGCCGGTCGGGACGGGGTTTTCGTACAGCGAGAAGAAGACTGGGTACTTGGATCCGACGTACTTGACTGTGGAGGAGGAGCCGACGCAGGAAGGGCAGAGCGAGGGGACGTGGGCGGTTGTCGATGCGACGCTCACCGATAATAGCCCACTTGCCGCAAGGACGACGTGGGAGCTTGTCCAGGGCTTTTATGGCGCGCTGCCGAGCTTGGACGCGCAGGTCGAGTCGAGCGACTTTCATCTGTGGTGAGTGGCTGGCGTTTGTCTTCTTTTCTCCACCATTACGGTCCAGACCAACACCCTGACATGGAATCAACCCGACACTAACAATTCCCCAGGACCGAGTCCTTCGGCGGCCACTGGGGCCCCGCCTTCTTCACCTACTTCTACGAGCAGAACGAAAAGCTGTCCGCGCAGGGCTCGCCCGGCCGCAAACTCAACATGAAATCCCTCGGCATCGTCAACGGCATCGTCGACGAGCCCACCCAGACCGAGTACCTGCTGCGCTTCACAAAGGAAAACACGTACGGCCTGCAGCTCATCAACGACACCATCTACGCCGAAGGCGACTGGGCGCTGCGCCGGCCGGGCGGGTGCCAGGACAACCTGAACAGCTGCGCCGCGCTGACGAAGGAAGGGCTGGTGCGGCGGGCGCAGTGCTCGGGCGCGCAGTTCATCTGCCAGAACGACGTCGAGAGCATGTACTACACTTTCAAGACGGAGAACCGGGGGACATACGACATCCGCGCGCGCGACGGCGACGACGTCCCGCCCAGCTTCTGGCGCGACTGGCTGAACACGGCCCCCGTCGCCAGCGCCCTCGGCGTCGACCTCAACTACACGGGCAACAACCAGATCTACAGCGCATACAGCGTGTCGGGCGACTTTGCGGCGCCGTACCTGCCCGACCTGTCCAAGCTGCTGCAGTGGGACGTGCAGGTCTCGCTGGTCTACGGCGACGCCGACTACATCTGCAACTGGCTGGGCGGCGAGGCGCTCTCGCTCGCGGCTGATTGGTCTGGGAAGGAGGATTTTGCCAAGGCGGGCTATACGGATCTGGTTGTTGATGGGGAGGCGTACGGCGAGACGAGGCAGTTTGGGAAGTTGAGCTTTACGCGCGTGTGGGAGGCCGGGCATGAGGTGCCGTGTAAGTTGCCTTGTCCATCTTTCCCTCTCTCTCCTATCCCTGCCGAGAAACCGTAGGCAGTGCGTGCACATGCTAACGTCCACACGCAAACAGTCTTCCAGCCCCTCGCCGCCTTCCAAATCTTCAACCGCACGAGCAACGGCTGGGACATTGCGACGGGCGAGATCGCCGTTGAGCCCAACAGCTCGTACGCTACGAACGGGACGGCCAAGGCGACGCGCACGAGGTCTGCGGGGCCGTTGCCGGAGGCGACGGGTTCGAGGAAGTAGGGGGTTGTGGGCTGTGCGGTGGTTGCTGTAGGATGTTGTGATGGTTGCTTGGTACATATTGGCTTGAGTGCATTCGTTATAATGTCCATACTGCAGCAACTTACAGGGTTTAGTGTCTGATGCCCGTCCTGCAATACTCAGGTCCACTTATCCGGGACACGTTTTCTGTAAAGCTACTGAGCAGCATGAGGTCAAGGTTTTTGAGTTCTGGACCGTCGTCCCACTTGCCCAGCACAAAACAGCGAAACTGAAAAAGGGCAACCAAGGAAAGATGCGTTCACGATATCTGAAAAGGAAATGTATGCCCTGGTGACACGCCGGGGAAAGCGGCTTTGAATTTTAGCTCCCGGATTGCTAGCAGAGACGGGTGGGAGGAGATGTATAGCATGTTGTTTACTTTGGGAAGCATGCGCATACGGCGTAGCCAAGAAAGGGCGGGAAAGATGGGGAACCGAGGAGCTTGGAGCGCAGGAGTGGTAAGCGGAGGTTTACGGTCCATGGTTTACAGGGCTTTAAAAGGGCTGCATGGTAGATACGCTCCAAGAACGAGAGCTTTGCTATGCCTGGCCGGTATGGTATAAGTAGCTGGTGTGCTGGCTGGCATTGAGCAATAGATGTTGTTCTGGTCCAAAGGGAGGGCATCATGTAAACGCGCTACCGCCACTCGGAACCATGGAGTCTTGGTTTGCGGATATTGAGCTGCAACCGCAGGACGGGCGAGGGTATTGAGTGCGTACAATGGTCTTTGCATGTACTGAATGTAGGTCTCTTTGACTGTTGGTAGAACATGCACGCTGCCGCGAATGAGCCCTGACGGTTTGCCTGAGGTTTGTTGTCGCGGCGATGATTGGGTGAAATTTGCGACTCTTCGAAGATGTACGGCCTGTGCTCCGCTGGGCATAAAGTGGTTCATGGCATCGCCTGGACACAGCTTATGCAACTCGAGGTAGTCTTGGTAATATCGAGCTTTTGCTCTGGGTATGTGTACGCATGACGTCTTGAGTGGACGGTGAAAATGGCTTGATCAGGTCAAGCAGGTTTCTTCCGAGGCTTGTCGGTCTGATGCAGTTGCGTTCAAACGGTGCAAACCGCGCGATCTGGCGCTGTAACGTGCTCTCTCACCAGCATGGTGCCTGCATTGAGCTCCAATCCATTGTGGTCCAGTCAACTTGGTTCATGTCGACGTCAAACGAGGTCTGCCCTGGTATGTCAGGATAGCCAAACAATCCCGAGCCCATTAAGTGCTGCCCTCCAGCGCCAAACCAAAGGCCCTGGTTCCCAAAGTCCATCGGTATAGGCAAAGGAAGGTCTTCAACGTTGATGTCGACAGCACTGTCGGGCTGTTGCTCAACGTCGCCGCTTTGCGCAAAGTCAGATCGCAACTCCATCAGTTTGTTCCTCACATCTACTACAACTCGCGGCAGCGTAAGCGGCTTCTCTTGTTCGGAGAATGCTTCGCACGCCTCCCATGCCTTCAGGACAATCCAGGAGAAGACGATAAAGATAGGCTTAAGGTCCATTCTTGAATTTGCCAGTCGGGCCGCGTAGTTCTCACCAATGACCTCCCAGGCGTTTTCAGCAAAGTCCGCGGTTGGCCGCTTCGTCAACTCTTGCAGAACAGTGATGTACGCGGGAAATGGAAAGTGGAAGTGTTGGAGCCAGTGATATCCTTGGGTGAGTGGTGAACTCATGAGTTTTGTGTCGCAATTGAGCATGCTCAGCGCGTAGGAGACAGCGGCGCTGTGCTGCTTATCCGTTAGGGGGGCCGATGAGGATGTCCGTTTCGCGTAAAGTTCCAGAAGCTTCATTTTCGAAAGATAACCTCGAGTGGTCCATATAGTCATAAAGTGGAGTGGGTTTTCTGGGTTGCAAAACGCGAGATGCTTTTCTTCCATGGCCTTCTCGAGGACGACAAATCCGCTGGATTCTAGAGCAAAGCCGTGTCGTGTGTCTTTAGCGACAGTGTTCAACGTCTGGTTGGTGAGGACGCGGTGAAATGCACTGTGACGGACAATACCGCCCAACGTGCTGCGCACAACAGAAAAAATTGCCTCGGTGGGTTTCTCGTGAGCCGCTGGCGGGTCCTTCATCTCCGGCCGAATTTCAAAATCATTGACGTTGGAAGGAGTCCTGCAGTCCCAGGTAGGAGCCAATGTTGACGTCTTGTAATCGAACATCTCGGAGATGCGGTTGTCGAAAACGACCAAAGACCACCATAATCGTCGTCGCATCTCAGCTTCGAGAGCGTTGCATTTTCCGTTTGTTGACTCATTGTGGATACCCATACGGTGTGCAATGCGGATAGCTAAGCCTAGTGTTGAGGACAGAGCTCGGGGATCTGTGTCAGGTCTGACTGAGATCTAAAACTGTCAGAAATAAACGATTAACGTTATAGTCCAATGCAGTTACCAGATAGAGATACAACGCTGTTAAGCAATCGCGATCGCCGGTCCGTAAAACCCGACAGTTTTGCAGGGCTTGTCGACATCCAGATTGATAGCATGTTAGAAGGTCTTCCCTTGCCGACCCAAATAAGATTTGGCATTTGTCTTCCTTGAGGCTCAAGATGGCAACGCAATAGATGCTGAGCATTACTGCTTCCATTGTAGGACTGATATCGGCCACATTGCTGGCGGCGTTGATGATGAGGGGCTGCAAGGTCGGGGTGTGCGTGACTTTGAGTAGCGGGTCAACGTTTTCCAAGTATATTTGCCAAAGCCTAAAGATTTGGGCTTGATTCGGGTGCAAATGAGAGAGGTCGACTTTAGTATTCGACGAACCAAACACGAGAAGGTCATCACTGCTACCGCTTTCGTACATCTGATCCCATACCTTCTTGATCGTATCCGGACGCACATGATCGTTGACATGTAGGAGGCCGCTACCTTGGCCAGTGTCATTGGTATCGTCCTCGACGTCTTGAGTCTCCCTTAAAAGTCAGTGGTGCTTGTCGCTTGAAATCACTTGAAAACTTAGCTATACCCTTTGATCCGTGGCATCCCATATGTTTCTTTGGCAAAGTTAGTGATCTACAATCATGTGATTTCTGGACCCGTACACTGTTCTGGAATTGACAGTCGCCATATCCCTTGACAAATCTGTCTCTTGAACCGGTCCTTCCAAATGCGCATCGTAAGGAGAATCAGAGCCTCCGCTTTCCACGGGAGACGCGTGGTCCACATCACGCGGATGTAGAGGCTCGAATTTGATATTGTTCTGGCGAAGCAGGTCCTCATAGTGCCGAAGGCGGGTCAGCAGCTCTCGCTCGGGGAACCTGCGGCGGCGCTCGCGTGGAGCAAGGGTGTTGGCTGGCACGCATTGCGCGCAGGCTCGGACGCAGTTGGCACATGGAAATTTGCGGTCGCACTTAACCTTGCGCTGCTGGCAAAGGACACATGCAAGCACGCGCTGTGGCTTCGCAGTGGCTGTCGACATTGTGTGATGCAAAGATGAGACGGAGAGGTGAGGTTGCGGCAGGGTGCGGGGGAGTCGGACTTTGAGCGCCCGATCTTGCCGCTCGGGCTTTTCTACTTCCCGACCACTCACATCGGCCTTTACTAAAGTCCGTCAAGCACCTCCTGGCGCATCCTCTCGTGCTTTCCTAGAGCCCGACAACTCAATCCTAAGCCAGTCGCTTGTTCATTTCTAACATACCTTTCCACATTTAAAAATGAAACATTTCTTCTCACTTCTCGTCCCTACAGCGCACTCCCAGCCCACAGAGAGGTCCTTACACTATCAATTCCATTGGTTTTTCCGCCTCAGGTCACTATGACATCCCAACCCTCCGATGCTAGACCAAACGATAGGCCAGAATCGGCCACGGCGGAGCAGAATCAATCAAGCACACTCACTGTTCTCTTGGTGGTCTCGGCTCTTACAAGCATGTTCCTTGTTGCTCTTGACAGGACCATTATCTCGACGGTATGGATGGAACCCAATGATAAAATCAGCCGTTTACTGGCAGCGCTGCGCGACCTGATACTGACTAAACTCTCGACAGGCCGTACCCAAAATTGCTGATGAATTCAACTCTCTCGCTGATGTCGGCTGGTACGGAAGCGCATACTTGTTGACGTGTTGCGCGTTCCAACTGTTGTTTGGAAAGCTTTACGCGTTGTACCCTATAAGGGGCATTTTCCTGGCCAGCATCCTACTGTTCGAAGTTGGCTCTGTCATCTGTGGAGCTGCTCCCAACTCAGTAGCCTTCATAATTGGAAGAGCAATTTCGGGGGTTGGCGCCGCTGGTATTTTTGCTGGATCGGCAAGCTTCGCCCTTTCCAAAACTCATTGGACATAATAGCTAATAATAGTAGATTGTCTGCATTGTGCACGCCGTTCCTCTACACAAACGTCCGAAAGTACAAGGCCTTTTTGGTGCACTTTTTGGCTTTTCATCCATTGTCGGCCCCTTGATTGGCGGTGCCTTCACGTCGAAAGTGACATGGAGATGGTGCTTCTACATCAATCTGCCCTTTGGTGGAATAGCGATGATCGTTATTGCCTTCTGCCTTAAACCGCCGGCTCAGGATACCAAGTCGACTCGCTGGACTGAGAAGCTCTCCCAAATCGATGCTCTTGGGAGTGCTTTTGTAATACCGGCTGAGGTTTGCCTCTTGCTGGCACTTCAATGGGGTGGTCAGACATACGCGGTTAGTTATTCCTAACACGGTTTCCAAATTGCAATGTACTCATGTTACCCAGTGGAGCAATGGACATATCATAGCGTTGTTAACGCTCTCGGGGGTTTTTCTCATGGCTTTTGTTGTTGTTCAAACGATGCTTCCTACGACAGCAACACTACCTCCACGCATCTTCAAGCATCGGAGCATCGTGGCGGGATTCTGGCAAAGCATCTGGGTCGGTTCTGTGAACTACATATTTGGTAAGAGGACCACTTCATCCACCGTTTCCTCAAAGCTGACTGTGATCGAAGTGTACTTCCTCCCAATTTGGTTTCAATCCATAAAGGGCGTGTCCGCTGTGCAATCCGGTATACGTCTTTTGCCTCTAATGCTATCAATGGTTGTTGGAACGCTCTCCGGTGGGTTCACAACCTCGAAGATTGGATACTACACGCCGATGGCCATTGTAGGAACAAGTGTCATGTCCGTTGGAGCGGGGCTTCTTACAACGCTGCAAGTTGACTCGGGCGAGGGAAAGTGGATTGGGTATCAGGTCCTCTACGGAATCGGCTTGGGCTGGTGTTTTCAAGTACCGAACCTTGCTGCTCAGACTGTTCTACCAAAGAAGGACGTTTCAATCGGGATAGCACTGATGATGTTCGGCCAGCTCCTAAGTGGAGCGGTGTTTGTCGCTGTTGGCGAGAACGTACTGGCAAACCAGCTCATAAAGAGACTTTCGGGAATTTCAGGTATTGAGCCGAGCCTTGTTACATCTGGTGGCGCCACGTCCCTTCTTAGCTCGGTACCTGCAAGCCTACGAGGGGCGGTTCTGGTAGCCTACAACGAGGCCCTTCGAAAGGTTTTCCAAGTCGGGCTAATTGTGGCATGCCTTGCTGTCTTGGGTGCAGCTTCGTTGGAATGGAGGAGCATCCTTCAGAAGCCAAAGACAAATGTGGATGCTGAGACTATGGACACAAACAAAGACGAGCGGGAAGGCTAAAAAGGCTCGGGTGTCGTGAATACGGTATATAATTCGAGTTTCATAATTGAAGGTAGATTTAATTCTATTATTTCACGATCTTCTTCCTTATCGAATGTCAAAAAGAGTTTGAACCTAAATCACAGACTTTAAAAACAGTTAAATACAGCCCTCCACTGACAAATTCGATCCCATATTTTCCGTCGTTGGTGATTTTTATGGTGTTGCGTTTTGATTTAGTTTCTTGAAGATCTTTGTAGCTCGTCATTGTAAACGTATGTTAGCCACTCTAATAAGCCCTCTGGGTGTTGATGGTTTCTGTTATGACAAGCCTCCTCCCTACTGCCTTTTTGGCTGGAAATCCTTTCAATTTCCTCCCATACTTCTTTCGCCGAATAGAAAAACCTTGGGCTGAGAGGGTTCCAGTTTCGAGTTGTATAGAATGTATAAGAAATTCGGGAAAATATTTCATTCCGTGCTTTGAGTTCATTCTCATGCTCATGATGCGTGGTCAATTTCGCCGCCTGCTCGACATCGTGATAGCTACGGCACGCTCTTCGTAATCCTCGAATCATTTGCCAGGCCGTCTCATATTCTGAGAAGTTCAAAGTGAGAACAAAGCTTTTTTTGTCTTCCTGTATGTATTCTAAGAGGCCCAGGCCTTCTAAGTCGCTCCTTGTTTGTGCAGCCCATCGTTCATAAGGCATTGAACAACGAGGCAGCTCGACATCCTAAGATGTGAAAGAGCACTCTGTTTCAGCGCAATCGGTCTCTTTTATCACTCCCCATTTTAGTGGTAATGCCCGAGTGTCGTCTTGAGAGGTTTCCGGTTTATATTGGCATGCGGCAGATATTGCAGCACTGCAACTGCTAGCAATGGGTATGTTGTTTTGAAGACGAGTATAGCCGATCACAAGGCCGAGACCCAAGTACCCAAAGGCCCAAATAAGTGTTAAGATCATTGCAAGAGGTGAATAGCCGCATGACATCACACGGTAGCGCCGATCTACGTCGATACTGACGACAAAGATAGCCTGAGATGCAAGCCAGTGGAGTCCAGTTGACATGGCCATAAGAGGAATTCCGAACCGGAAAGGTAGCTGGAGGAAGTGTGTACTTCGCTGATAACCCCGAGGAATAGTGGATACACGAAGTCCTTTTCTTTCTGATCCGTATTTGTCCCACTCGCTGGCGAGAAGCAGAGCGGTGATCGCGCTGTTATACGTGAAGTACATCAACGACAGGACAAATTGGGGCAGGTTGGCAATAAGCGCGTTATCCCATAGAGCTGAAGCCCCCCTATTACTGATGTCCCAACTGGTAATTAGAGTTCTAACGTCGACGACGCCAAGGCCTATGTCCATTATCGCTTGGATGTTTTTTGGGCCTTTAAGATTGGAGAGCCCAAGAATCAGACCAACCACTACCATGATAACAAAAGCTAAAAGCCTGTACGGTTTATTAGTAAGAATTCCAATGCGGTTGGTGCGAACATACGAGAGTCCAAGTAAAAATATCCGCCTTGGGCTGATTGTATGTATTCGCCGTTGCTGATGAGGAAACCAAAGCTTTGGTAAGCCGGACCAGGCATCAGGGAAGTACGTTAAGTCCAGCTTTTGTAGGAAATGTACTCCTTTAGTGGCTGGGTCTGGTCGCTCAAGGAACGAAGAAATAGCGTCGCCTACTGTGAGGAGTGGGATTGAGCGTGCCGTAAATGCTAAGAAAAGCATAATGCAACATTTTACAAGCGTAACGAATACGATAATTATCGCAAACGGCACGCTCATTTCCAGCTCACAGTACTCCTCAACGCGAGTGCTGTAACAAGCAGAAATGTTTTGTCCGAATGGAGACCAATATGTTGTGTGCTGGAGCTTTTTGATATCGCAAATATCTTTGCAAGAATCCTCGAAGGATCTAATAGCATCTCCACAAATCCAGTAAGGGGCATCCGGCAAACATGGCGTCGACTGAACAGAAAAGTAATCATTAGTGGCGTTCAGCTCGTAATGATAATTGTCGATTCCCCAGAAGGCGTCAACATGGAAGGTCCCGTTAAATATGCCTTTGAATAGGCTAGTATCTTGGTTTTTCAACGAGGCGTTGGATTGTGAGGTCTCACGAAATGAGCCCCTTTTTAAGCTAACAGCTTGATCTCGTTGCAGAAAAACAAACCTTCGGCCTGTTATAGAGGGCTTCCCAAATATTTCTCGGCATGCTTCCGGAGAAAACCTTTCAAGGTCGACCTCAATTATGTTTGCTTCGTGGCTGTTGCTTAATGCTGCAACTGAGTTGCTTGGAAAAAAATAGTTCTGGTAGGGGATATCAATGAAACCAAGATTTGTGGTATTGATCGTCTCCTCGCCGTTAAATGTGTCAACCAAGCGAAGGTCCGTAATGTTAATAACTGTCTTGCCGCTAATCGCGTTGAACAACCCAGGATTAACGGTATAGATGTCGTAGGAACTGGCGCTTGTCGTGGTAAATATCGTAGCGTTGAACCTTAAAATGATGTTAGAAAGGTGCCAATACAACAAGAAAATTCCTTACAAAAAGTGAAGAGGCAAAGAAGTAAGCATGAGGCAGTACCATAGGAAAGCTTGCTTTCGGCCAACGTGTCGGAGATTACGGTAACTTGGTACGCCTATATCAAGCCAAATCTTCTTCGCGTGCGCCTTGTCTACGTCTTCTCTTGTGGGAGCCGAAAGGCATTGCATGCTGAAGTTACTGGCACCGAGAAGTAGACTACTGGTTAAGTTAATGTAGAAATGGGCGCCTGTATTGATTGAGCGCACAGTTGCGCAGCTTCCTTGGAACAAGACACCCCGGCCGTCATGAATACCTTTTGCGAAAACGATAACGGCAATCGTCACCCCAAGGTTGACTAGGAATGCGATAACTGCCGAAATTGCACCAACTTTGAGGGAAAAGCTTGAACCAACGAGGGAATGCGAAACTTTCCAGGCCTGAAACTTCGTATAGAAACTCTGTTCCTTTGGCTCAGTTCGAAATAAGCCATCAGTCTGTGGCAAAGAGGTTTCTTGGTAGCCGCTCCCATCGTCAAGTAGGTGTTTCGTGGATCTCGGTTGAGTACCGGATGGTGGGTCGTGAGAGATACCACGCAGCGGGATTTCGTCCATGGCGACACGAAAACAGATGGCGGACAGTACACGGGAACTATAGTTTGAGATATGACAGAAAAATCTCGCGAAGAAAGCTAAGTTGTATAGAAGGCGTGTCAGCTCCGAGGTGGAGTCCAGCCTCAGCTGTACCCACAAAAAGCTAAATATAGAACGAAGCAGCGATGCAGTATGCACAGAATGACCGGGTACTCGCACGTGACAACGGCAGTGGATAGGACAGCCACAATATATAATGGACGGAAGCAAAAACATCAGCCTTTTAAGTAATCAGAAGCTGTTTCTCGGGGAAGCTGTTTCTCGGGGTGCTAAGATTTATATAGATGGTTATGGGCGATCGATCTACCACTGCTGCCCCCCACTCGCTACACCCCCCCAATTAGGCGTCATTTCGTTACAATGCGACGTCAGCTGTTTACAAAACAACTACCCACAAGGTGTTGGGAGTTGATTCGTCGCCATGGGACGCCATATTCAATAGGTCGGTAGTCAATTTATCGAATTTTAGCATATTTTCCCGGAACCACCGGTAGACTAGTGCTGATTGAGTTGAGTTGAGTTGAGTTAAATTCATTTACCCTGACCCATCGCCCTGAGCGATATGTAGGCCTAGTGCTGATTGATTAATTGATTGATTGATTGATTCGTTTAACGTCTATATGCAGTCTGAGACTATAACGGACGGTTCTAACCTGCAAGACCCATTCAGATCGAGGTCGATCCGATTGGTGGCTCACCAAAATCGATTTTAGGGTTTCTGAAGACAGGGGGTCGATCTGATTGGTGAGGGGGGTCGATCTGATTGGTGAGAAAAGGTCGATCTGATTGGGGTTCCGGGGCGAAATTTTAGGATGCGACCCGATAGAATTTTAAGCCAGGTCGAGGAGACCCCGATTCCAATTTCAGGTACCCAAAAACCTATAGTAGTTGTAGAGATATTGATAGATTAGGTTAATAAGTCGCGATGTTTGATGGGGGAGGCCCGAGCACAAAAGTAGGGTTAGTAAGCGACGTTGCCGAGGGCGCGCAGTAAGTTGTAGTAAGTCGCCGGTCGCGCGATCGATACGGGTAGCCCCCCAGCAGAGAGAAGGGTAGCCGGTAGTTAAATCGTCGCGAAAGCCGTCCGTCGTATCACCCGTATTACCCGCAATTAGCTATAAGGACGGAATAAAGCCGAATTATTTATTCCGCTATATTTCTTTATATATAATTCTTTATATTCACTTTAATTTTTCGTTATTTTAAGGTTGCCTAATAAGTAGCTAGTAACAAGAGCTGCTTGTATGTTGAATTGAAAGTTAAGGAAGTTGATAATATTCCTCTTACCTAGCAGCGCCTACTGCCTAGGTTATTGTTTCCTCCCTTTCCCCTCCCCTCTATCTCTTATAACGCTATTTCTTCTAGCCCTTAGTAACTTGAATGTAGTTAGCCCTAGTAGCGAACTAAGGAGAGTTAGTAGCGTTAGGTAGATCTATCCACCTAGTGTCACGGGTTTCTAGCGCGTTCCTTATAGTTCTTACCAGCAAGCGCTAGCTGACGGTTTGTCTTTGTTTGTTGTTTGCTAATTGTTGTTTGTTTATGTTTCTGATGGTTTGTCTTATTTGTTATTTGTCAATTGTTGTTTGTATTTGTCTCGCTCGTTGTCTCTCGCTTAGCGCCTAGCGCCTGCTAGCGAGCTATATATATAGCCGCCGTCTCTCGTTCTCTTCCTTTCCTCTTCGTACCACGTCTTGTAGTTAATCCTACATAATCTGGTTTGAATCCGCCTTACTGCCGTAACATTACGTGGTACTACTAATTCTTAACCAGCGCCTTACCTAGTTACTCTTTGTTCCCTTGCCTTATTACCCTAGGAATTAGGATACCTCGTTCTAGAAATACGTCTGTAGACGGACTTCCGCCAACTAACGATCTCGCCTAGGAACTAGCGTGCTATTGCCGCTAAACTCTTAAAAACCATTATAGACAACTAAATTTACTAGGACTCTAGCGCGCAGCTAACCCCAGTAGACAAATCATTTAATAACGCTGAGGATATTATCAACGCCCTAAAATAAGACCCTAAGGGTATCTTCGAACACCTACGTAATCAAGCCGCCTAGGCAAATGCCTACGTCGACTCTAATGCTCGCGAGAAAGAGGCCCTCCGGCGCGAGGCTGATCTTAAGACTCAGCTAGGCACGCTAACCCAGCTCCTAACGGACACAACTACTAGAAGCACCGCTCCTAGCCGCTCTGCTAAGCACCCTAATCCTGAGCCTTTCGACGGTATAGATGCTGCTAAGTTTCCTCCCTGGCTACTCGCTATGCGCATCAAGCTCTAGAACAATGCCGATCATTTCAACTCTAAGAAAGCTCGTATGGGCTATATCTATTCTCGCCTTTTAAGCTATACCTAGACATTCCTCAGCTCTTTAATTACTGAAGAAGGCGACTTCAGCTTCGCTAACGTCGATAAGATATTCAAGATGCTTCAGGGAATCTTCGACGACCCTAACCGCAAAACCAACGCTGTAGCTCGCCTAATCAATCTTCGCCAGACTAACAGGCTATTTTCTAACTTTGTCGCCTCGTTTAAGAAGGAAGCTACCTACGCGGGCTTTACCGACTCCCATACTCTCCGCGCTATCTTGCTTAATACTATTAGTATAGAACTAAAGCAGTACCTCGTCACCGACAACGACTATAAGAGTCTAACCTTCGACCAGCTAGTTAACCGCCTCCAGACCTACGACGTCCGCTATCGTGCGCTCTCTAACGGCAGCCGCCGTCCCCCGAACAGTAACAACCGTTCTAGACCCTTCACCTTCGGTACTCCCTATTCTACTATCACCAACCAGCAGACCCAGAGCGCGCTATCTACTCCTCTCACAACTACCCAGGGCGGCGACGCAATAGACCTTTCAGCCAACCGAGTTATTAGGGGCCATCTTACGCCTAAAGAGAAGAATCGACGCGATGCTAACAACCTCTACCGCTATTGCGGGGAGCCTAGTCACTTCGCTCGCGAGTATCCTAAGAAACCGAAGCGTTCCCCCCTTACGTTCCGCGCCGCAGGCACCTAGGAGGCCCCTACTACCCCTACCACCGCTACTATTAGCGAGACTCAAGTCCCTACCAGTAGTTCGGAAAATACTTAGGCCCTAGACAGAGACGCGCTTAGGGCCGCTACGGTCAAAGTTCCTTAGAACTCTCTACTTTTTCAGTTTACGGTTTCTTAGGCTCAACCTGCTATTCGGACACCAAGCATTTCGCTCTCTAATATACTATTTAGCCGGTAGCTCAGACAAATAGAATACCTTCTCTTAGCCTACTTAATACTAGTACTTCAGCAAAGTCTTTTATAGACCTCGATTACGCGTAACGAAATAAATTTTAAGCTATCCCGTTAGCTTATCCTAAGACCCTTCAAGTCTTTAATAGAACCGAGTCCTCGTCCGGTTAGATTACATATATAGCTCGAGGGTTCCTTCACATTAACGGACACACTAAATCAATAACCTTTTATCTTACTCAACTCGCACAGTTTAACACGGTCCTCGGCCTACCTTAGCTAAAGCTACACGACCCTAAGACGAGATAGAGCTAGAACTTAATCCGTTTCAACTCTCCCTACTACCTAAAGAACTATACTAAAGGACAGGTAGTAGAAGCCTCGGCTAAAATCGATAACCCCCCTACTCCTCGCCCTATTTACCTAAAGGACCTAGAGACGCTACTTTAACTTTCCTCCTATTCTCTTAGCACACTACGTCGGCAGAGCCGGAAACCCGGAAGTACCCTCTTCGCTATAACTCTCGCCGATATAGAAAAAGCTCTTAATCCTACTATTATCGTCGATCCAGCTACCGTTCTTCCCTCACAATACCATAGGTAGCTTCATATTTTCTTAAAGGAGGAGTTAGATAAGCTTCCACTACACCGGACCTTAGACTATAAGATATATCTAAAGCCCGAAGCTAAACCTTCCTACGGCCCGCTCTACGGCATATCCCGAGAAGAACTCCTAGTTCTTAAGAAGTATCTTAAGGAAAACCTAGCTAAAGGATTTATCCGGCTAAGTTCTTTACCTACCGCTTCCCCTATTCTTTTCGTTAAGAAGCCCGGTAGTAGGTTACGGTTCTGCGTAGACTATCGAGCTCTTAACTAGTTAATAGTTAAGAATCGATACCCTATTCCCCGGGTTAGCGAGACCCTAGCGAGGCTAGGGAAGGCAAAGTATTTTACTAAGCTAGATATTATTAGAGCCTTTAATCGCCTACGTATTACTAAGGGTAACGAATAGCTTATAGCTTTCCGTACCCGTTATAGTTTATACGAATATCTCGTTATACCCTTCGGCCTCGCTAACGCTCCGAGCTCCTTTTAGAACTATATTAACGATATACTACGAGAATTTCTTAATAATTTCGCTATAGCCTACCTCGATAATATCCTAATCTACAGCTAGACTCGGGCTAAACATAAAGAACATATCAACTATATTCTCTAGAAGCTTAGCGAAGCAGGGCTCCAGGTAGACATTAAGAAGTATGCGTTCTATACCCGGGAAGTAAAATATCTCGGTCTTATCATTACTACTAAAGGAATACGTATAGATCCTAAGAAGGTAGAAGCTATTAAACGCTGGCCGGTTCCTTAGAATACTAAGGATATTTACGCCTTTATCGGATTCGCTAATTTCTACCGGAGATTTATAGAAGAGTTCGGTAAGATTGCCCTTCCGCTAACAAACCTTATAAAGAAAGATATTCCCTTTAAGTAGACTAACGAAGCTTAATACGCCTTCGAGGCCTTAAAGGAAGCCTTCCTAAAGAATGTCGTCCTAAAGCACTTTAATTAGGACCTACCGTATCGTCTTAAGGTTGATGCTTCTAATCGAGCTATAGGCGGCGTCTTACTACAACCGGATCACGCCTAGAACTAGAGACCTATTGCCTTTTTCTCTAAAAAGATGACTCCCGCGGAGAGCAACTATAAGATCTATAATAAGGAGCTTCTCGTAATCGTATAGGCCTTTAAGGAATAGAGACCCGAGCTCGAAGGAACAGCCGATAAAGTAGAAGTTCT